ATTGATCGAACAGTGTACATGCGGATGCCCCCAGGATACAGGAAGCAGGGAACAATACTGCAACTAAACAAAGCGCTGTACGGCCTACGGATCTCGCCATTGCTCTGGCAAAGACACTTCACTGCCTTCCTTCTAGAAATCGGGTTCTCGCCAGTTCCCCACGAACCTTGCTGCATGATCCGAGACGGAGTGTTCATCTTCTTTTATGTTGATGACATTATCCTTGCCTCTTCGAAACGGCACGCGGAAGTAGCTCGGAAAGTGGAAGAGGAACTGAAACAGCGATACAACCTGACCGGAGGAAAGGATTTGCAGTGGTTTTTAGGAGTAGAAGTTATACGGGACCGAGAGAAGCGAAAGATCTGGCTGTCACAGAAAGCTTATGTTGAGAAGATTGCACGGCTGGCAACGAACAAGGACCAACGACACAACACACCAATGGCTAGAGTCGAACTAGTTGCACGTGAGGGTTTGGCGACTCCTGGAGAGATTAACTTGTATCAACGCAAGATTGGATCGTTACTCTTCGCCGCCGTCAACACCCGACCCGATGTCGCATTCCCAGTATCACGACTCGCCCGGTTCCTCACAAACCCTGGTCCACTACATCAAGAAGCCGCTGACCGAGTGCTGTTGTACCTGGAGTCAACCAAGCTTCTATCCTTATCATTCGGAGGAGACGACCAATTGGTAGTAGCTAGCGATGCATCCTTTGCGGACTCGCCCGGTTCCTCACAAACCCTGGTCCACTACATCAAGAAGCCGCTGACCGAGTGCTGTTGTACCTGGAGTCAACCAAGCTTCTATCCTTATCATTCGGAGGAGACGACCAATTGGTAGTAGCTAGCGATGCATCCTTTGCGGACAACACCGCGGATCGCAAGAGCTCCCAAGGGTACGTTATCAAGCTATTTGGAGGACTGATCGCATGGAGGGCGAACAAACAAGATACCATCACGACATCTACGACCGAAGCAGAACTCCTCGCGCTATCGCAAGTGGCTAAGGAGTCCATGTTTGTGCGGATGCTGCTAGAGGAGCTTCGGGTAGAGTTGACGGAGAAGACAATTACGATACAGTGCGATAATACGCAGACGATCCGGCTGATCAACGAGGAGATCTCTCAGCTGACGACGAAACTCCGTCACGTGGACATCCACAATCACTGGCTGAGGCAAGAGGCAAAGCGAAAGTCTATCAGAGTCGTGTATGTACCGTCTGGCGAAATGCTCGCCGATGGTTTCACGAAGACCCTGCCTGCCAACAACTGGCCCCAGTTCTTGACGCAGGTCGGACTGGTTGAAGTGAAGGAACGAGACGTAGAGGAAGCAGATCCAGAGGAAATTCTGGAGAAGATGGAAAGTCTTGTTATATAGTCCGGTATGAATGTCGCAAAGACCACTCCACCTCAGGCTGCCGAGGAGCGCCGAGCTGAGGGGGTGTGTCAGATTGAGGCGAGGTTTTGCTCCATGATCGAGCCGATGGTGGTTGGGGAAGGACATGAGACCCCCAAACCAGGGCTAGCGCCGGGACTTAGCACTGCCAAGCCCGAGGCGAGGCCACCTCCCACAGACAGAGCCGTAGACAGACACAGAGAATACACACTTGATCCCATCCATAAAAATCTGACACTATCACTCCTTCCGCCACAGCATGTAGGCCGTGCTTCAACCCAAACAAAGGCAGGATAGCCACCCACTTTCCTCTTCCTCTCTTCATCTCAACTGTAAATAGCATCTAGACTAGGTAGCTAGAATACAGTTCCTACAGACCGTTCATAGCTTGCAGGTGCTAGTTCTGCTGGTCACAGACGCCACTTCGTAGAGGAACCATAAATCATGAAAATGTAATTATGTAACGGTTTGGGCCTTGCCAAGACCAAATTAGGTAAGAGTTGGGTACGGCTATCGCTACCACACTTTTTCATCACACACACCTATATAGCTGCAGTTCCTCCATAGCTACACAATGCAACGCAGTCCTCCTCCTCTCCTCACACCGTTACATTAAGCCAGGCTAATCCTATGTCATTGTTCGTCCATCCAGAGCTTGAAGAAGCCACATGAATAGTGTGTTTTTCGGCCTTGATTCCGCCACCCAGTGGCTCTGGATAGTGGAGTTTTTCGACGCAAAGATGAGACCAGGGGGAAGAGCAGTACCGTCCGCGCAAATTGCTGCCAACAGGCTCACCCATTCACGCGAGCCATCTTGACGAGCCTGCCTAACCTCCTTCTTCTCGTACTGACGCCTGGAGAAGATGCGCTTTGATCTACCTAGCACCCTAATAGCAAAGCCCTTCTTATCTATATTATATGTGTGCTTAGGCTCAAGACTGTACTGAGTGATTTTCTGCTGCAGGAGCTCAAATTACGATTTGTACTTATACTCTGATTCAGCGTTGTGGCGATTGGAGTCCATGCCCGTTGTCCAGTGAGATGTGAGTTGATCGTGATGACGGTGGAGGAAGCGCGTAACCCAGCTCTCAGAAACGCGTCCCTGCGCAACTGTAGATGCAAAATTCTGCACCATACTCCTTGTAGATAGCAGATGACGCGCGATAAGTTTTTCTATATATTTGGCTAGGCCATCTTCTTGCTGGTCGTTGAATTTGCGGTTGCTGAAAACATCGACGTGTCGGGTGACCTGCACGCCTCGGTGCGCGCGTGACAACCTTGTGCGCGACACACCATGTTTTTCTGCAATATGAGTATATAAAAGCTACTCTCCTGGCTTCATTGCAGCTACCTCTGCAAGCATATCACTTAATCCTGGCATGGTGTTGAGTTGTTACGTGTTGAAATATGGTGCAAATGTTGCGCGCTGGGCGTTCGGTGATTCCGCGCGTTCGGTACACGGACACAGTTCCCAGTGATACCCGTTACTATAGAATTTATTTGCTAAGCCTCTTCAGCCTCGTTTTCGTGTTCACATGGCCCGTTTCGACACGTGCCGCCTCGCCGCCCCGCCTCATCGCCCTGCCTCATCGCCCTGCCTCATCGCCCTGCCTCATCGCCCTGCCTCATCGCCCTGCTGCGAAGTCCTGACTTCACACTCTGCCTGTCCGCCTCAAATCCACTTCAAGCCCGATTTCCACTAGCCCCATGCCTACCATCAGCAAAAAAGCTTCGGCGTCTGATCAGTGGGTTGGAGAATATGCGGAACTGTGGAGGAAACAGATTGCGGCGCAGCCTAAGAAGACATCATCAGAGGATATGAAGCAAGATGGGTATCAAGAGTAACGTATATATCCTTTTGACCTAATTTATAGTTTGAGTGGAAGTTGAGATAGGAACAGGAACTCTGCTGGAGGATTTAATGGGAACATCTTCCAGAGAGATTGCGCCACAGTATAAGAAGAGTACAGCAACTACTAGCAAGGTTCTCTAGGTTTATGATCGAAGCTGCAAATCGTTTCCTAGCTTTGGTATTCGCTATGGCGTTCGTCGCCTATTATTTTTATAACTGTACTTAACGAATTGTTTGAGGCCTCTTGAGACTGCGTTGACAAATTAGTCGAACTTGAATGCAAATGTAAAAATCAAGTTACAGCAAGAGCTGAATCTTTGGCGTCAGCCCAGTAACTCTTGTGGAGAAACTTGAATGGAAAAAACCTCACGGCTAAGACTGACAGCGCGCAGAAGAAAGACTATTTACTAGCTTAGTTTAGTAAACAAACAGAATTGAAGTGATTTCATACCAACACCATATTTCCATATATCTGTTCGAAGAAAATGGAGATAAATGCAAGAACGAAGAGAGCAATGCCTCCAGCACTCAGAGGCAAAAACAATAACCAAACGTAAAGTATTGCATGATTTGTACGAAGCTTTGTCGTAGTAGGGGCCGAGTTCGTACGGATGCTGTTAGACACCTTCTTCAGTGTTTCGAAATATAACAGCAATGCTGATCCCACAGATATGGAGGAGGCCAGGAATAGAGCTGTAGCGTTCGAATAAGTCCCCCATTTCCTGTTGTTGATATGACCCCTAAGGACTAGAACTGGAACCAAAAATGAGAGGACTAGATTCACTAAGCTGCAAATCCACGTTCCATAAATCAAAGCGGGATTGTCAAGACGTAGCGTTCGCAGAGTGCCCTCCGTCTGCCAGACGTTAGCTACATAGCATGGGTAGGCTTACAAAGGAAAAAACTTACCTCTACGGCTACGAGAGTGACACTTGCACCTTGCACAAGAGCTACAAACAGGCTTTGATTTTCTGCTTCCGTGGACAGGAAACTAGCTGCGACTGTCATGGAAAAGACAAACTAGCCGCTTGTGCAAATACCAACACGATTACTCTACAAACATCTGCTATGCACGCGAAAGCGTTCTGCTATACGTAAAACACTGTTAGCAAGTACTGTTGCTCTATGTCTATTGTCCTACATTTAGTCTTACTCTAGTTGCACAGCGCACGCTCGACTGCGCTGTATAGAGACTAGGCGTGGCTCTAGTGGTTAGTTCGACAATCGATGTGCACATTGAAGAAGAAGAGGACATTAAGACGCAGTCTGGGATATAATTATACGCAGATGATTCGTAATGTTTCTTTCCCTCTGTTGCTACTGCTTCTGACATCCTAACACATAGATAAACTCAAAACCTTGCAACATGCTTCTAGGTCTCTAACAGTCTATGGTGTTAGTAGCACTAGAATGTGAGTAGAATTATGTCGTATTAGTGCTACGGAGTGTGGGAAGTCTATAATACATGAAGCTACGCGTTAAGCCTCTATAGGCTTAGTGCGTGTGTGATCTAAGAACAGATGGTCGCGCCTCGGGCAGAACCCCAGGTGGCCTCCGGCCAACATATAGTAGCTGCGACTGTGATCGCATGCAATGCCCTCTTGTGCCGCGGACGCAGAGAACACAGAGAAGAAACCAAATAAGCAAAACAACCATAACCCATAGCCGACTGTAGCTGTATACAAGTTCGTGCGTCCGCCGCAAACGCTGGCCTTCATCATTGACTCGTGGGCCTCCGTCGACCCTCCTGCAGCCTATGCTAGCAGGACGTCCGTCTCTCGCCGCTTCTGCGTTTTCTGTGCTGCCTGGATCTTCTGGACTTCGCTCTCTCGGATTGGAGCTCCGCCTGCAGCCGGAACACTTGTGACTTCGACTGGCGGAGTTGCTCTATGATGTCCCACTTGTTCCTCTGGAGTTCTTCGACGTACTCTGCGTAGGATTTGTTCAGTTGAGATGTCTCTTTCGCTCGTCGCTCGAGCGCTACAGAGTAGGACCAGAGCACGCGTAAGCGGATGCGCAAGGCCCGGGCCGTGGTGGTCAGATTTAACAGGTGGACATCAAGCAGCCGAAACTGGTCGTAGACGTTCTGTTGTTGCGCAGAGCGTTAGTCATGTCTTAGCTTTGTCATCGCTCACGCTCTAGCTAAACTTACCGAAGGCTCATCCCGCCGCGCGAGGGCTCCAGACGCCATCGTTGTTGATATTCCCGCAGGCAGTTGGCAGCAAAGGACAGCTTCACCACAAGCAGCGAAGGGCTACGAGGCAGGAACTATATCACAGTCGGCATGGCTGTTTCGCTGCATCACCTGACGAAAGCTATGCGACGGAGCCACAGGCCACTTGGGGGGGATGCGCAAGAACGACTCGGCATCATGCCATGCTGCTTGGGGTAAGCAATTGAGCCTGTGCTTGTACACGACGAACTACTGGGGATCGTAGAGCTATGACCACTGACGTCACGTGCCCCGCTCACGAAGGGGCCACCGCACATCCGAAGCCTAAGTCCCTACTGTATCTTGCGAACTTCTAGGGCTTTACAGTCGCTAGCGAAATCGGCTTCCCCTCAAAGCCGCCGCACATGCAAAGTTGCGTCAGCCCCACCTTCCGCATAAGGTATAGCCTTGACGCCAAGATGCCAGCTCTGTTGTATTTCTAGCACTGGAAGAACCTATCTTAAGAAAGGTAACTTATACCATCTCATTATCTTTCTGATGGCCTACCATTTTGCCATCAATCCCTTTACTACCTACTTCTCGAGTCATTGGCGGGCTAACTGCATCTTATGTCAATGGGAGTCGTGCAAGTTTCAAGCTAATTGCGTGGCTGATATCTATGCACATCTTGCGACTAACCATGATGTACATACTTAGATAACAATACCAACACGAGCCAGATTCTGTGTTAAGTGTAGTTTCTGGCTTCTTAGCAACCTTAAGTGAGATAGGCACTGCACAAAGCACATTAAAAACCCAGACATTATATACGGTCTAATTATATCCGAGGGAATCCTTGCAGCACCAAGGCGGTGTCCATATTGCATAAGGCAGGGCCGTTACGTACATATGGAAAACACTAGTCACTATGTGAAACACATTGACGATCATATTAGTAAAGAGACTGAGAAAAGCGGTGATGAGGGGATAACATGTCCACATAAGACTTTCAGGAAGCAATGTCTTAGTAAAAGGAGATTAGAGATCATCTTGTTATGGTACACGGCGTTCCAGTCCTATAGCTCTTGTTGCGGTTTGTGAGGCAAGGGTATTGCGCATGTCACGTGTGTTGTCCTGGCGCTCCTCCCTCCCCTCCATGAGCACTTTCTCCCCTTACCAGCATCAGAGATACGTCATGTAAATAGATCTTGATTATGGCTACATATAAGGTGGCCATGACAGCACAGCAACAAGAGAACACATACAATATACTCTGATTACTGCCTCGCGCGGTTACACTTTAATTGACTGCATACACTGCAACAGCTCTAGACTAAACTAATTGCGTCGCTTCAGGGCAGCAGGTACAATCATCCTGAAAGTCCCGTAGAGATTGCAGTCTTTTTATCCCACCAACGCAGTCATCTGTGTTCCTCTCAGAATTCCAGTGGTATTGGTGAACATACTGATCTCCAAATACAACCTCCCACTTCTTTGTATAATCCCCAAAGCCTAATATGGTAGAGTGAATACGATCGAGGGTCAAGCACTGGAGATAGCATAGTCGGCGCATCTCTGCGAGCGTAATACCCCATTGTACCTTATCCCCAACCCCTTGTTCCATGATTTCGAGATGGCGAAGCGACGCGGACGAAGAGAGTAGTTTGGGGAGCGTGGACGTTGTTTTGAAACCGTTGAGACTGAGATATTGCAGGCGTAAGGCCTGGAGGCCTGATAGGACACAATCGCAGAACTTGACGTGATCGGAAGATGCGACTTCAGCCATATAATATGCGCTGTTGTTGTCGGAGCTGTCCATGTCAATAACGACATGAAGACTAAGACATCGTAGGGTACTTATGCGGTTGCATCCAGCAGCGATGGTATTGCCCGAGACCTGGCCTAACGACAAAGTTAGTAGCGAAGGGTAAAGTAGATGCTAAACTTACAGGCACGCCCCAACTCTATCCCAACGTGAAGGGCGGTCAGGGATTTATATCCGCTTTTGTTGTCAAATATGGAACGAGCCTTGGATACTGGTAGGAACATAGGCCAGAAGTTGTTAGCCCTTTGCAGTGATGTCGCTATCCGGAGGCTTGCTATATCATCTAACTTTGGCGATAATCCAAGCAGCACCTGGGATACCGCTACGGTCCATACGTCCGACATTCGGGCCCTGCCGTTCATCTCATAGCCATCATGATCCCATTTGTCTCCGCTGAGACTGTCAGGCGATAAGATAGTGATCTCGCGGAGGTTCACAAGCTGAGGAGAGATATCTTCGAGTGTTTTTTTCCAATTTGAGTTTGCAACTAGGTCAAACACGTCTTGTGGGCATCCCGAAAATTCCCCATCGCTAGTATAACCGCACAGGCTCTCGCTGTTGAAGGTTAGGCTAGTAATGTGAGTAGCCATTACGCAAAACAGTTCTGATTGAAGCCGGTCGATACTGGTTTGAGCAAAAGTAATCGTTCTTTGACTGCACCACTTCTTCAAAAAATCGTGGCGGGAGTTGCCCTCGATGGCTCTGCAAGTTTGGCGTAGATTGGTGCATAGACTGAACTGATCGGACTTGGATGTAGGTGCTTCGATCACCATAGCCAAAAGTTCTGAAGGGAGTTTAAGCATCCTGCATACGGTATCTGTGAAGGAAGCTATTGCACAAGGCGGTACAGGAACTTATAGATCACAGCGGTGTTCCTAGACAGCCCTCTGTACTGCACGATAGCGGGGGGTAAGACAGACAATGGACTCCCAGAGCGAACGCAACCGAAACAAAGACGTCACGTCGAAGACTAGGCGACAGGTGTGCAATACCGCGTCGAAGAACAGGCGATAAGGTATTTTCTAAGCAATCTTGAGCATCCACTCACGGCTCCATACCAAAACTCACCTATGATGGATGTAGGAGTATCGTCGGTGGATGAAGCTGGCTTTTGGGTACTCCAAGAGTTTCAGTGGGATCCCCTTCTCAATTTTCACTTCTTATAAAGTGCCGCGACGTCTATTAGGGGAGGGTGGAGGTGGAGGCGGGGGAGTATGCGACGGTGTATGCGACGGTGACGGCGACGGTGACGGCGGTAGGGGCGGTGGCGGTGGAGGTAGGAGGTAGTCGGTTGATTATGCTTCTGGCTTGCTAAGAATTATAGGTGCAGCGCGCGCCAGATGTATGGTTGCGTAGAGGAATTGCTTATAAATACTTCTATGTTACATATATGGTAGCCCTAATGTTACCTGCTTTACTGTTGTCCCTCATGCAGCCAAATATTGACATATAGGCCAATATTTGACTTGTTCAAGGGACCCTTGCGGCGCTGCAGATATGAGAATCCTTCACTGAATTTCCTCCCGCTGTCTCTCGATTTGAAACCGAAGTTATGCACGAGCCCACATTCAGCCACCAGACGCCTGGCCTTTCTAAATGATCGGTGTTCGCAAGACACAAAAGGGAAATTACATCATTCTGCTCGTCATACCGCGATTCCGCAAAGTTGCTGCCCTTAGCTTCTGGGGTAGACAAGATTAGCCGAATCGCCTTGTCTAGCTCGCTTTGTGATGTCGCCATGGCTGGTGGCAGATGAAATGGGCGCCGCTCTATAAATCGGGCGCCGGGCCACTATGTGGTGATGTCCGAGTCAAGTGCTGCAGTGTGATTGAAGGGTACGATGTGATTCGGGGATGCCGCAATGTGACTTGAGCCGGCAGTGTCATCTAGGCCCTATGCCTAGGAGGGGTGCCACTTCCGAGCCCTCGTGCTGACCCCTACGATTGGCATTAGGCCGGCACAGGTGCCACTTTTTAGTGGGCGCCGCTCTCTGAGATAGGCGCCGCTGTCTAAGGTAAGTAACCTCTTTCGCTGTGCGTGTTATATGCTGGGAAGTTTATTTGGGTATCTGCATCATAATGGGGGCGTGACTTGTCGAGGCTGTGCTAAACCTCCGCACGAGCACCATCAGCTGCGTCTGCCTCAAGCCCGTTCGGATATCCTTACAGTACCAAGGACACGGCGTAGAGCACCAGCTACAGCTTTTAATAATTAGATCGCTGCTTCACCATGTAGTTAACCGGGGCTTTACAGCTATTCGTTCTCTTCTCTATGCGCTTGTCCTAGATTGCACGCGCGAGCCAGTGGGCTTAGATAGCTTAGGGTCTTGGGCTACTGCTTGCATGTGTGTATAACAAAACACAATCTACGCTTGTGCCAAAGCTTGATTCTAACTTTTTGTTGCTTTTTCTGTAATCTCCTTGTCGGCCATAGGGCTTATCCCTTGGCTCCTCCCTATGTAACCAGGCAGCCACCCATTCGCCCGCTAGTACCTTTACGGCCTAGCTCCTTCATTCTCTCCTCCCACTGCGTATATAGACCTCTTCCCGATAGCTCTAATACGACATGATTCTCCCCAACCTTGACGCTTGACAAACACTATCCCGGCCGATCAGCGTCTTGGACTTCTCCGCAACTTACGCAACTTGCTCAAACCTAATAGACGCCTCATTGTGTCGATGTCCGCTCGCTTCGCCAACTTCGCCTCTTTACCCGCTGAGTCCGCCGTCCCTGTGCAATTTAGGACTTCGCCCTATATAGAAGCACTAAGCTTGTTACTCGTTATGCACTACATAGACGGCCAAACCGTGCCTGTTCCGCGAGGTATTGATCGGCCGCTTACGGAAGTCTTCTTCGCTATGCAACTGTCCCCCACTAAGTTTTGGTCGATAGCCGCTCAGCAAGCTTCTGAGGCAGCTAATGCAGCTGGCTCTGCTGCACAGCAATAATAGTTCATCACGTTTGAGTACTATGCTCTGGTATAATTCTGAGTCACAGACTATTCAACCCTTTCCACTCTCGAAGATACCCAAAGAATAGCGTGGCCCGCGGCAGAAGACGCTCAAAAACATTTTTTGATATGATTCTGAGGGGTGTTCAGATACGTATTGCTCCGCTCCTGCCATATGCATAAGAATGCTCGGTGGTTGTTGTCATGTAGTAATACAACACCTATTGAAACAAGGTCCCTCTAGTAGTATAGTAGTATGACTACTATGGACAACCGAGTGGGAGGAGGGACAAGGCGGGGTGGCTACAACGTATTGTATTGACTATCCTGTGTTGTATCCTTTTCTCTCTCTATTGTGGCGGGTGCCATTGCCCACCGGGCAGTGCCTACCACAACAGGATATCATGTGACCCCTAAGAACCTTCCACCCTGGACTGAACCTAGATATTCTCAACAACACCTTATATTCTCTACTTCGCTCTAGTTAAAGAGTTTATTTTATGAAAATCAATAACGTCACATACAGATGCAAACCGTCCCCACTTAATCTCAGTTCTCATAACGTATCATCTTCATGGACTACAAGCCCACCGAGTTTACTGAACCACCACACTAGACAACCCCGCATAGCGATTGCTACCCATCTTGGGTCGTCTACTCCTGAACCGAAACAGATATCCGTTACGCATGGGATACTCTCGACATAACCTAAACACAAGTTGATTTGATGAGGGACCTCCTGTTTATCCATTACTTCGATGTTATGGTCGAAGCGCCACTGCCCCAAGGCTTCTCTAGTGGAATCCTCGTAGTGCAGTAAAATGCCAAGGCAAATACCGGTTGTTCTGTGCTTACAGGTGTCGATGGATTGGACATTTTTTAGTATTGCCTGAGAGTGGAACCAGTCTTGCCCAATTTGCCTGCCAGCAACTGGGACTTTGCCGATAGGCCACGGTGGGTCTTCAGGCACTGCAACTGTGGTCTCTTTGGTACTAACAACGGCTAACCGGAGATCTCGTTCCGTGGGCTTTGGTCGGAGGTCATTGTAGTAGATGGATTTAACGTACCCATCTGGGCTTCCATTGAGGCGCTGGAGTTTGATATCAGAACGATGTTCAGATTCCTGATAGGATCCGAAAATGCGCGATCGTCCAAGTGTTGTGTAGATCTAGATGTCGTTAGTCGTCTTATACTCAAGAGAAAAGGAGTTACTATACGCACTGCAACTGTTGCTAGGCCTCCAGGGAGTGTCAGAACCCAAACCCCACATATCTTCTCCCCAGGAGATATAGGGAAATAGACCCAGACTAACTGGTCACTATAGATCCACTCTACTTCTGCAGGGGATGGTTTGCTCGAAGAAGTAAGGTTGCCATGCGCGTGAAAGCTCATGTTGGTCCACATGTAACAAGACACGGTCAAACCGTTGAGGTTTCCGTCGACATTTACATGCCTCATGTAGAAAGGTGACTCTGTGCCTAAGACGGGACTTTCGTACCTATACCATTGCTCCCGGGATATATCCGGTTGTCTGGGACAATCCCAAAGATACTTTACCCGACATTGAGGATGGATGGCAATGTTTCTGACCAGGAAATTCTTGAAGCTTGTTAGTTGAAGTATGACTATTCATTCAGGCGCCTTACGTTCTGTGTTATCAAAATGTTGTTATCCGGGTTCTGGTATAGTTTTTCGTGTTGATACCACGGTGCTCCGGTGGGCTTTGAGCCAGATTCCTTAGCGACGAAACAAATATCACGAATGCCTAGTTCATCCAATGAAAGAATAGCATACGCTGGGTGGGTCATCCAGAGAAGCTCGTTCATATCATGGCGCCTTTCGTTGCTTATGTCTGAAATGTAGGATTTGCCTCGGATCGTAACGTAGCTTAGGTACATCTTCTTCGAGTAATTGAGTCGGATTTGCCTCTCGTGTAATCCAAGGGTACGCTTGATTCTCAGCAAGGGCAGAGTGTCGAGAAGAACGGTGAGCAAAGACAAGCCTAGGCTTGGCCCTGCGAAACCCAGGGTTATATATTGGATTTCTGTTGACAGTTTCTGCATTAGCCGGAAGGCTATGGAGATCTTCATGCAATCTTGATTGTTTCCAACTGGTGCTTGTCTTATCGAGTGATTTGCCATAGACTGATGATTGGGCTGTACACGTACACGAAGCTGATCGTGTCCGTCTAACTCACGTGATGACTGACCTAATCTTCCATTTCCGAAACAAAGCAGGGTCTGCTGAGCTTATGGAGGCGGTAACGCTACGTATCTGCTGAAGTGTACCGACGTTTTCGAAGTTCGCATAGAGTGGTTGTATGCAACGAACGAGACTCCATAAGGCACGTATAGGGACCTTGGAAAAAATCTGCAGTGTTTGAACACATTCTGTGTGGAACACGAATGCGATGAGTGACGAATTGCGGCAACAATATGGAGAACAAGATGTAGGACAGCAGATCGAAATATAGACATTATTAGCCGCTTGGTGCAGCTTTATCCCGCTTCTCGTCTCATATGTCGGAGAGAGGAAAGACTGGCTGTACCCATGGAAAGAATCGGTGCCCACAACTACGTATAATTTAGTGCTGAAAAACAGAAGAGTACAAGATCATATACCTGCAAGAACGGACTGCCCTGCCCTGGTAAGGCTATGGCACAACAGGCAAACGCGGGTCGGGACTCGAACGGCGGTACTTGCCTCTACATTGACGTGTGTCGCCATATGTGAAGGCGCAAGTGGTAGTAAAAAGTTTGATAGACGTGAATGTAGCAGAAATGACAGTTATCGCTGCCAAGGTTAATGCGAGAGAGTGTGCTGTGTTGAATAGTGTCAGACGTGGGATGAGCAGAAACGCAGCAAAAAAGCTGTAGCCTAAGAATTAGGTAGCGAGGTTAGGTAGGTATGGGCAGACGGTAACACAGCTGCGACCCCTCACCGCCACATCTTTTGTGACAGCCCGTGATCTCCGCTCCTTGTGCTACGAAAAGGCGCATTAATATTGAATGCTGCACTCGAGGTAGCTGCCCTGCCATTGGCTGCGGTCTTTGAGCCCTTACCTTCGGAAGCGCCGGGCGTGCTCCGTTGGCCCAACCAAACCGCGTCACGCCCCAGCGGCTTTAACCACCCCGGAGGATCCGCGTTACAGCCCATTAATCAGCTCGATGATCATCTAAAGTATCATTGCGCCCCACCGCAAAGCTCTATCACTGAGGCTGCGCTTTTCGAGCCGCACACCGTCAGCTTGACAGAGGCAACGGCGCGCTTATGATTTTTTTGTCCCAATCTTCTTGTTCTTGACGTCAGTAACGGTCATGGGGTTTGATTGAATTAGATATCGAGGCGGCTTCCTTAGCGACCTGCTGCGATATTGCATCACCGGTGTACCTGGCGCGATTGCTGTGAGGTCGTGCGCTCGCGGATAGATCGAAAGCTGAGCCAGTAAGCTGGGTCGATGCTGCACGAGCTACTGCTACTGCAAGAAATGTTATTGTAAAAGAGCGACTACGGGAGTGATTTTCAGTTGAGTGTTTATAACCTGTGAACAGGGCAAGGTAGCGAACATGAGGCGAATGTGTCGTATTATTAGAGTCATAGATGGACATGTATACAAGAAAGGCGCCAACCTAAGGCAAATCTGGCGTGAAGGTGTCAGGTATATAAAGCACTGAGTTGAGTGAATAGCTATGAAGGAGGGGAGCTATTTGAATGGGTGACTTGGACAAAGGTAAGAGCAGATCGGGCCTGTGGCAGAAGAGATGAGGTTAAAACCTAGGGCAGAACACCTGGTATTCGTAGACTCGTCGGCCCACACAATCTCTACCTCTTCACCATCGTCCCATCCTGGTACATAAAGTTCGCGGGGGTCCGGTAGAAATGCTTCTGACGGGTTGGGTCCCACTCCCAAGTTCTGCAAGTTTGTTAGGTCAAGATTTGAATACAGTATCTCAAACATACATTTGTGGAGTCGTAACTCCTTGGTCTTTGAAGTATTGAAGCCAGCGAAGTATGTATGTCTCGCCTGCGGGGTCGCCAAATTCCATATATGCTGTAAAGAGGCCCAGAGCCTGGCCATCAACAGGAGACCAGGTGCCTGGCGTCCACTTGAAGAAGCGCGCACGGCTTCCAACAGATGTCTGGGCGTACACCTGCTTGATATTGTACTTATGGCAATAGCTTTCGCAAGCATTGAACGCCTGATTCTCCACGTACTCGAGTTCGGCAATAGGGATCTCGTTCCTCTTGATCTCGTGAAAGATCAGGACGAAAGCGACGCCCCAATTGCTATTAACCTCTTTCACAACCTGGTCGACCTTTCTCTTGCCTTGTTCCTCGGGAATAGGAGGTACTTCGTAGTCTACGATATATTGCTTGTCGACGAAAACTGATTTGGTGTAGATGTGGTGCCAAAAGCTCTGGGCAGCATTCTCGTAGGAGTCGACATTCTGGACTTGCTGCCAGAGATACTTCGTCGTGTGGTCATCGAGCAGTGACGGCATCTTGGATGAAGCGTAGAAGGGGGCATGATCCTCATGAAAAGAGTAGAGCTAGAGGCTATATATATTAAATTTACGGGCGTACGCTAGGCTGAGGTCTCGTTATACCTCCCCTACCTAAGCATGCTTCACGAAGCTGCATGGTCAAAACTGACATAAGGCCAAGGCGCTTCAAACTCCTCGTATAATGCACGTAGGCCTCCGCCTAGCCAGTGAATAAATGTCTGTGCCGTGATCACGTCGCGACGAGCGGCAGTCCACAATAGATTGCGTAGGCTAGTTAGAGCGGTGCATGGGTTGTGGATGCATGCTTACATGAGGCGGCAGATACTGGTCAGCGACCCAGGCGCGACCGTGCACACGAGAAATGATGGAAGATGTCAGCGATAATCTAGGAGTAGCTGGGGGCGGCATCCGACAGGTCGCGTTGAGATGAGGGTACTGGTTTGATCTAGACTGGAGGTAGGGATTGGCTGTGCGAGTATTGGCCAGCGGGACATGTTTTCGTATTTGGATGGAAGCGATATCTCCCCTACTCTGATTAGTTTCAAGTGATTTCGATTGTTTCGATGATTTCGATGGTATCCATGGTTTCGATAGCTAAGCGATAGGGATCAGAGTTTTGAGTCGCAACCCGAACTCTTGGTTCAGTGGCGGTTGAAGCGATTCAAGCGGTTCCCCAGCAATCGATAAATTACACTGTTGAGGCGCTCGTAGGGGCTTGGTATGTGCCTTCCCGGGCCCAAAGCTTGTGGCAAGTTGCCTCCATGCTTGATAGACATTAAGCCAACTATTACTATACCGTCCTTAGACACTCCATATAGACGACATCAGGACTCTCATTGTTCTGGTCGCGCTTCTGGTTCGAGGGGCTGAACTAACAGTTCAAATTCTCGCTTATGGCCATGTCGGCCAAGCACAAACGATAGGGCTAACACTTTTTGGCGCTAGTCACATCTGTCGAGCGAATGAGACATCGATCAGGCCTAACTCATGAGAGCAGATGTCTCGTGCACATCTAGCCCACACAAGTCGCTCTCGCTTGTACTAGTTGCTCTCGTTTACACAAGTCGCCCTCGCCCACACAAGTTACTCTCGCCTACGCAAGTTACTCTCGCCCACACAAGTCGCCCTCGCCCACGTGCAATCTCAAGAAAAGATGGCATCGAGGCCAAAGCCTTCCTATTATTACAGTGCATATTTGTGCGTGTTATGCTGCACAGCCTCTAGCCATGGGCAATATCGAACTTGCAATGTGACAACTTTGACTTTTTGTCATTGTTTGGCATACGGGGAAGCACACCGACAGACGTGAACCAAAATGGCTAGCGCAATAAAGGCTCATAACGTCACCGCTTGTGTGTACATCCATTTCGCGCCCACCTATCATCTTCCAATCGGCTCCCTCATCTCTGTTTTTTGGTGTTGAGCGGCTTCATCCTCGCGTTGTTTGACTGCCTCGCGCGCGCGAGCTTCTCGGATCTTGCGGGGACTCCAGAAGACAGCGCCGCCGTGATACTCATTGCGCTGTTGTAGATCCAGCTTGCAGCTCTGTTTCTGGTGTTTCTTTTTGGCGTTGAGCGCGGCGCGCAAGCTATCGTTTTCGTCGTGAAGTAGCGAGTTTTGGGCCTGTAGAGAGTGTAATGCAACCGACAGCTGTTTGGCTTCAACCGCAGCATCAAAATTTTGCGCAGCTGGCTCCAGCTATCCCCATCACCGTGCTCTCCGATTTTTAAAGCCTCATCTTGCTTGATTGTGGTGTTGTTGAAGCGTTCCAGTATTACCTCAACATCCATAGGCCACGCGCCTGTAGCTTGAAAACTCTTCTTGGTGCTATCTACACTCATTGTAGAGCTCCAGGCCGGCCAGAAAACTGAGAGAAGTTGCCTCTTTTCATACCGGTGAGGCCTTGCGACCCATGGATTTGTCGATCAAGCTCGCGAGAATGGTTGGCGGAAAGTGGCGAGAACAGCACGACGTCGAGCTGCTGGAGGCTGTGAGTTGCATGCGGTGGAAATACAGCCAAAATTATCTTGTGGCCATCGCAAAAGTCAATAAATTCGCTCGTGACATGGCTGCCGTGGCCATCAAGGATGAGGAGCCGCCACTACCGTCTTGCTTTCTCCTTTGTGAAGCGATCAAACACCTGCTCGAGCCAGGCCAATCCAAGCTCATTGTTCGTCCATCCTGAGGTTGAATTAGCAAAGAAAACCTAGTGCTATGGGCTTCTACGTCGTCAACCCAGCTCGATTGAAGCCCAGCCTTGCCTTCGTAGATCAGCGCCGGCGGTAATGCTTCGCCGGAAGCGCATACGCAAGCAATGAGTGTAATATATTCCCTGTTGCTATCCTGGATAGCAGCCGTACGCTCTTTTGAAGCCCAAATTGCCTTTGTGAAGATACGTTTTGAGCGGTTTGTGATGCCAATAAAGAAGCCTTTCTTATCTACGTTGTAGCTGTCGTAATCCTCAATGCCGTACTCTCGCATTTTTGGGTGTAGTATATGAAAATACAGCTCGTATCTTTCTCTTTGAGTACGCCTTGTGCCTGTTGCGATCGATGCCGGCGCTCCATTTGATGGTGAGCTCGTCGGCATGGCGATGTAGAAATCTGGAAACCCAACTTTCTGAAACCTCCCGCATCGCTATCGTCCCGGCGAAATTTTGTACCATCTCATTTTGTACCATCTCTCTTATAAGTAGCAAGCCTCACCCTGTGCATCTTTCTATGTATAGCATGAGCTCGTGCTCCTGTTGTGGGTTGAGTAATTGCTGTTGTTGATGTGCATGTGCATTTGAGCGTGTAATGCCTTGGTGCCTCCGCGACAACGTCGTTCGATCAACACCAAATTTGTTTGCGACTGCACGGTACGAAAAAGATGCGCCAGGCTCACGCAATTCGATTGCTTCTATTGCTGCCACGATAGGATCCATGGTAGTGAAGTTGTGGCTTGTCGAAGTTGAGATGATCCGGATGCGCTGATGGTGGGGTGGCTCACCTGCCGACCTGGCTCATCTGGTGCACGGGCACTGTACGTTAGGCAAGTGCGCTCACCTCAGAACATAAGAACATGAGAGAATAACAACATAGCAATACAATCGTTGATCTATAGCCTCTGAACCGACACTGCTTACGCAGTTACATTATGCACCACAGCCACAGACAAATCTAAGCACGCTACTGCTTCTGTATGCTAAGAGGAGGTAGAACTTAGTTGTCGAGACGCGGTAAGAGCCCTCACTAGTATTCACTGTGACTCAGGCTTGCCGTGCTCTGATTGGCCAGTGTTTCGGTGCGTGAATAGTGCACCTGTGCGGAGAATTGACGGACTGAACAGCACTAGTCCTGGATAACTAAAGGGTCGAAAGTAAGAGACATCCGGGCTGCAAAGACAAGAGCGATCTAGACTGCATCTTCGTATGTATCCCAACAAGACACTAATGAACAACTCGCATCCCCGCGATGGACGGCAAACCGCTTGCTGAGTGATTTGTGTGCAGTAGCGCAGGCTGTACTGTACCTTTGTCGGGTCTTTCCCAGCACCAGCGTGCTGCGCACCTGCGTACATGTAAGCGAGAGTGATGATCGCTGCGACCCATTTTTTGCGACTTTATAAACCGCCCATGTGCGTTCAGAGGCACTTGTGTTTGCGAATGTCGCTTTTTAAGCAGTAACCTGCCTTCTCACTATTGCACTATCGAAACAGCCGGTCACCAAGTCTGCACAGGCCAACAAGCACTCGAACCCTTGCTCCATCTCAACCAGCCGCATCAAGAGAACCCTTTCGTCATGTGGTTGCGCTCATAAAGAGTGATTGCTAGCAGTGCCAGCGCTGGCGGTGAACGTGCTCCATCCCCATTGGGCTGCCGAAGCTGGCCGCCGCGCGATATGACGAGCCCGACAACTGGCATCGCCAGACGTTGCCAGCAAGCGTTGAACAGGGCACAGTAAGGCAGCGCGCATTGCACGGGGCCAGTGCAGTAGCTATAGTCTCGCTTTGGTTTATCGTGCTGTAAGATGCGTGGCTGCCCAACGGAACAGCATTTGGCTACACAGACACCGCTTGCCGTTGTGGCAGTGGTTGCGGGTCCTGCCCACTATCGCTAGAAAACTCTCACGAGGTGCATATCTAGGCCAAGTGCCCCGCGCCCCTCTAAGCCCCGCCATCAGCACCTCTCGTCCTCCGAACAGCACCAACATCTGGAAATCTCTGGTCTTTCTCGCGCACACTATATGCTGGTATACTAAGCAGGGCTCTGCCACGAACAAGGTACTGTTCGCCGACAGCTTGTCAGCTCGACAACCCACGTGGTACCGGTTTCAGCCAAGGCAGAAAGCGCCACCGAAGAATCCTCCACAGAGCACCTACTGTCCTGACCGGTACAGTTCGTACTTGGACTTCGAACTCAAGTTGTTACTTGGGTAGAATCAAGGGAGACTCACGCTTTTTGCAGCGAACCCAGACACAGTAAAACATCTTCGACAGACCAACCACACTTCGCGCTCGATTACTAGGATAAGAATATCGTTTTGAAGACGATCATTCCAAACCAAATTCTATCCCATCCTTTTGGTAACAATCAACTATACTTTTATCGCTTTAGGCGCTTACAATAGTATAGATAACATAGATTCCGCTCCAACCAATTCGATTCGAAACAACGACTCAACATCCAACAGTAGTTATTGTAGGCTTGGATTCATGGAATACGAAAGGTTTAAAGGACAGTGGATAGCTACGACAAATGTTTGCATCATGATCAAGGGAGCAGCTTACTTTGCTGAAACGGGCATAAATGTTAGTCAAGAAACGCTCATAGAGCTGAAAGAAGGGGAAAGGATTGTAGGTGTGGAATTTGAAGTTTGTGTGGTGGGAAAAAAAAAGGAGTGAGTGAGTGTACTCGCTACTACCCGCCGTATCAACTAAGTATCACACCAATTCTCAATTATTCATCACTTTTTCCTACTATAAGCTATTCAATCAACAGTGACATCGTATAGTACTCGCCAACAATTTGACGTCGCATGGATGCTAAATGTGTCGTGGTGCGGGAACAGTGCACCTGTGCGGAGAATTGGAGGATTGAACTGAGGTTGTATTGTGTATGTATGTATGTATGTATTGTTTAACGTCCTATGAAAGCCTCCCAGGGGGCATGAAAGACGGGTAGCGCCCTGTATGGTACTCAGGTGCTCCTATTCTTTGGGTGTTGGCAGTGTGTGCAGTCTGGTAGGGTAATTTCCGCCAGTTGAAAAGACTCTATCTAGGTTCTGGGCCGTGGGGCCAGGGATGTGTTGAGCAATGAAGCAGAGCTCTTGTTCTGGGGCCAGTGGGCATTAGGGTGGATCCCTTGTGTTCTGAGGCAGCTAAGTGCCGTAAGAGAGAGTAAGAAAAAAGGTACGTGGGTGTGGAGAGCCGGTGCTCTGTCGAATCGGAGCCGTGGCTCTGCGCGAGGAAAGCCTTTGTACTAGGCTTGGCGATGCCTGTGTCGAAGGAGATAGGTGTAGTAGGAAGGCAGAGCCAGGCCTGTCCTTCTTCTTTATCTCTTAAAGTTGCGAATCTGTAAGGCCATGCTGGCTGCCTTGTTTGCGGTTAAGAGCTAGTGCTCTATCGTGTAGGTGTCATGGCCCTGCATGAAGCAGGGACAGGGCCTTCGAGGTGTAGGAGAGGTGGGTGTGAAGGCAAGGCGATGCCAGAGCTTGTCCTTCGCCGTCTCCAATTTGTTTGTAAGGCTATGCTGGCTGCCTTATTTGCGTGTTGTGTCAGATCGGGGACTCTGACCGTTGGTCTTTAGAGAGCTGCGGGCAGCTCTCGTCGTTGTAGGTGTGGAGAGCCGGTGCTCTGTCGGGTCGTGCCGTAGCTCTGCGCATGGAGAGCCTTTGTATTTAGGCCTGGCAGATGCCTGTATCTTGCAAGAACAAGGAGTGTCAAGGCTGTCTCCTTGTCTAAGCGGTGGTTGTGGCCTTCGACCGAACGTGAAAATCTGAGTAGCGCACGGGCCATTTTGAAGACATCTCAGCTCACCAGGGAGATGAAAGACAAAAGAGGCCAGCGCGCCTGCCACAGCGCCTGCAGCCGGAAGAGGACGCTGAAAAACAGATTTAAGAAGGCATTTGAGTCTTGCTTTGATGAAAAATCGATGGATATCGACCTTTCGTTGACCTGGAAAAGTTGATGTTCGGTGAGGTTGTATTGTGTGAGGCTACGAACAGTATATGTAGGTGGGTGACCGTAAACAGTGCTAGCCCTAGATAGGCATCGCGTCCTTACCAAAGGTGAGTTGCTGCTGCAGTAGCAAAGCAGGAGACCCCGAACCGTGACAGAATGCGATCTAGTACTAATCACGCAATTTTACCCTTATAACGGACAACCTCTACATCCGTACACCGAGACACTAGTGAAGTCGGGACAATGCAATCAAGGCAGCAGTAGGGATCTTTCGGTATCCGTGGCAATCGAAGTGCCAAACAACTCGTCGCCTGCGAGGTATCCAACTTTTCGGACTCCCACATATTAGACTGCATGATCATTTCTGCCAGTTCTTTGAAAGGCAGCTGTCGTAATTTCATGTTGAGGTAGAACCAATTTCCGTCTTTTACGTGATATGGCTCTCCTGTAGCATATGTTATGGCTGCAACTCCACCCCAACGATACTTCACAATAGTATCGCCTGTACCACAAAGGTCCTCTTGCCCGACATATTTCAGATCGTATAATGTAGTAGGGTCGAGTTGGTTAGGTGCATTGGTATGACAGGATTCCTCAAATGAGTCGTCTGGTACGAGCGGTGTAGGCGTCAAACTGTGGACTTGTATTTGGTTTTCGTGCTCGCTCGGGGTATTTGCGTATCCGTCGAGTGCAGAATCGTCTCTCTGCAAAGGCCCCGTTGACTTTCCGGCCGTTTCAAGGCGCCGTCTCTTCGGGTCAGGATCTATGGAGTCGCCAGGACGTTTGGAACCCGGAATTGCTCTAGAATGATCCGTGTACTGCTTGAGTAGAGAGCTTTGTTCGCCATGGTCAGACTGGCCTTTAATGAAGGCTATTAGAGTCATCCAACGAGACAAGTGAGTTCTGTAGCTCATTTGAGGCGACAACAATTTTGAATAGGCCAATTGTCGTTTTTTGCCAAATCCACGGCCGATCACATCAACGTCTTCGATGAAGGTTTCGAGTAAGGTAGCGTATTCTTTTAAAGGCCTTGTTCCCTCTTTGCGTAAAGCTTTAATATGCGATTTTAGGTTCGACAGCTTGGATTCCCATTCGTCGCTACTATCAAACACACAACTAGGCGGAGCCTTCATGTGGAGAAGATTGTGTAATGTGTTCTTTCTGATACGGGTACGTGCACTCTGGAAAGTGTTCCAAGTGTGAACTAACAACTCCCAAATGGCGAAATCCTTTTCGTTACTAGCCGCGTTTTCGAGGAACTTGTAAAGGTCCTGTGGTTCCTTTATTATTAATGAAATGGAGAAGGTTGGCTCCGTAGTAGTTGGCTTGGTAGTCATAGTTTGTGGGCGTAGATGTCACAATAGGCGTAGATGCGACAACAAGCGTAGATGCGACAATAAGCGTAGATGCGACAACAAGCGTAGATGCGACAACAAGCGTAGATGCGACAACAAGCGTAGATGCGACAACAGGCGTAGATGTGACAACAGGCGTAGAGGCGACAACAGGCGTAGATGCGACAATAAGCGTAGATGTGGCAACAGGCGTAGATGCAACAACGGGCGTAGATGCGACAACAAGCGTAGATGTGGCAACAGGCGTAGATGTCACAATAGGCGTAGATGCGACAACAAGCGTAGATGCGACAACAGGCGTAGATGCGACAACGGGCGTAGATGTCACAATAGGCGTAGAGGCGACAACAGGCGTAGATGCGACAACGGACGCAGATGTCACAACAGGCGTAGATGCGACAACAAGCGTAGATGCGACAACAGGCGTAGATGTGACAACAGGCGTAGAGGCGACAACAGGCGTAGATGCGACAATAAGCGTAGATGTGGCAACAGGCGTAGATGCAACAACGGGCGTAGATGCGACAACAAGCGTAGATGTGGCAACAGGCGTAGATGTCACAATAGGCGTAGATGCGACAACAAGCGTAGATGCGACAACAGGCGTAGATGCGACAACGGGCGTAGATGTCACAATAGGCGTAGAGGCGACAACAGGCGTAGATGCGACAACGGACGCAGATGTCACAACAGGCGTAGATGCGACAACAAGCGTAGATGCGACAACAGGCGTAGATGTGACAACAGGCGTAGAGGCGACAACAGGCGTAGATGCGACAATAAGCGTAGATGTGGCAACAGGCGTAGATGCAACAACGGGCGTAGATGCGACAACAAGCGTAGATGTGGCAACAGGCGTAGATGTCACAATAGGCGTAGATGCGACAACGAGCGCAGATGTGACCGTCTCGTGTGGCTAATCTGAGTCAAAGATAAGCATTATTGGGCGTGCCTTTATAACGCACAGACTAATCCCAATCCTAGCGCTAGTATAACCAATAGTACATTAGCTGCCAAGTCGGCTGCCCGGATAACAAAAGCCATCAGCAGGTGGGGCTAGCTTCCCAGGCCCTCCAGCCGTTTCCTCACGCGGCAGCTAAGCGAGAAAACTTTACCTCGACGACAGCGAATTGGCCTAGTGTCATTGTATAGTTAGACCAACTCACGCATCACACAATGGCTTGTGTGCTCACCTGCCCTTTCGAGTTCACAAAATAGTGATGACCACCCGAATTCTGCAGATTGCGAGCGAAGCACCCGTTCGTGCATCAGGAATAAAATTGTGTGATGTGAATAGCCAGTCATGTATTATACGAACCTAAAACAATACCTAACTACCATTAATGCTAGATTTAAATGTATAGGCTTGTCAGAATATGGGCATATTTTGGGTGGTGGACAAAATCCGGGTGTTCGGAGCTGTTGACTCTGTGGATCAGTTAAATTAGTCAGCGCGCACGATCCCCCGCGATCCAACTGATCGAACTGCGTTGGATCAGCACAAACAAAAAAAAACACAACATCAGACCAGAACAATACAATCGATCCCCATCATATTATTATACCATTATCCCCGTCTTTGATAACCCATCACAATCTGACAAGGCTCTCTACGTTGACAAGAGATCTTGCTGTGCCGTTGGTCACAGATACGCTGGCAAATGGGTTGGGTATACCCAGTCTTGGGTTGGGGTTGGGTTGGGGTCGCACAGACCATGGGTTAGGGTTGGGTTGGGGTCGCACAGACCATGGGTTAGGGCTGGGCTGGGGTCGCACAGACCAAGTGGTAGGGTTGGGCTTGGGTTGGGTTGGGTTGGGTTGGGGTTGGGTTATATTTTTTGGGTACTTTAACGGAACAACACTTAATTAAGATAATGTGTACACGTTGATGATATAGTAGATACATAAAACGAGATATATTAACACAGCTAATTATCACGGTAGCGCTGAGGACGCTGGCGCTTTCGAGGTGGCAATTGACGCTCCTCCTGGACCTCTTCCTCCGACTCTTCTTCTGTAGTCTGGTTCTCCTCATCTATATCGAAGGTATGCTCTAACGAGGCTGGAAGCTCAAAAAGATCATTAACCTCGTCAATTGGCTCTCCATCCTCCCCTAATTGAGCAACTAGGTAGTCTAGACCCTGTTCTTCCTCTTGAGATATTGTATCCTTAAGAACCATTATCTGCTGTATTGTCCGGGCAGATAGTCGGTGCCTCCGACTACCAATAACATCCTTAGCAACATTGAAAACTCTT